TGGTGGGATTCGAAGTCTTGTTACCATATTAGGAGGTGGGAGCTCTATCCCGTGAACCACCACGGCTTGTGTATATAGCAATTCCCGAAAATTCCGTCACCAATAATTGATATGATAGTATGCAGCGCCGTAGTGATATTTATGTTTAAAATTTCTACAGTCGCCTTAGGAAGGTCCAAAAGTAAGTCTAAACAATTACTAGGTACCTAAATTTTTATTTCTATAAAAATACTAAATTATTCTAAACAAATACTTAACGTATAAACTAACTATTCAACACTTCTTAAACTATCATTTAGGACAATTTAACAAATTGAATCTATATAAATACTTAACGAATAACTAATTATTCAGTGGTACTAACTAATTATTACTGAAGAGAACGTAACAAAATGAATTATTATAACTGAGCATAGTGTTGCCAATGCAAATAGAGGAATATCAGCTTTTTTGGTTCTTCATGAAAAAGAAATAAATGTATAGATTCTAACTTCCACCTTTACGTAAGACCGTATGATGACCGTTCTTTTCTGATATTCGGAATTGAAAATTGCTTTTTCGACCTTTATTTAAATATTGGGTCTCCGGAGGTTTAATTCCTATACATTTTTAAAGTTTAACAATACCATAGATTTATTGTTATAATACTAGTAATAAAGTAATGTTAAAATAAAGTAATATGAAAATAAATTAATATAAAACGAAAGTTCTTCGAAAATAATTTAATTCCTTGGTATCAAGAAGTTTAAATCCCATACGTATCTAAATTTTAAGAAGTGAAATTGATATACAGTTATAATAATAGTTATAAAGTAACATAAAAATAACGTAACTTGTTCATGTATAATTCAATGAAATCTCTGGTGAGTCAATGAAAACATTGAGGCATTATTAATAACCCACTCATTTTACATTTTAACAGTTCTTTTGTCATGGCGCTTGTAGCCTTTGTGATCAATGACTAATTTTAATTTACAATCGCAACAGAGAACATTGCCACTAACGCGCTAGAAATCCGCATAATAATTGTAAAGCTCCATAAATCTAAAACTAAACGGTTATTTGAATGGGGAATGCCCTATTGAGAATTAAGTTGAAGTTTAGTTCGAAATGCGACCTGAATAATAATTAATCAATGGTGTCTAGAACAATACGAGATGTATTATGATCACTATTCAAATGAATATTACCACATATATATTCCTTTAACTTCTTTTAAGTAAAAGTTCAATTATTTGGAGAAACCTCATATACATATATAAAATTTATAAAGAGTATTATTATATTGTCAATAAATTATGAATATTAGTAAGTTTATCATTATCAAAAACTCGATTTACTGTGGTGTGAAATTGAATTAATCATTAAAAATTTAAAGTTTTAAGCGTTTGAAAAAAAATAATGTTTCTACACAAAAAATTGTTTTTGTATTACTAATTAAATGAATAAATAAGTTAAGACAATTATAAAAATATTTAATATTATTTTATAACAGATTAAATATAT